TTTTCGATAAAAAAATGACTAAGCCCACCGTATAGTAAAAAATAAAATAAAGTGGATGTGAGTGTTATAAGCCCACTGTATAGTAAAAAATAAAAATAAAGTGGATGTGAGTGCTATAAGCCCACTGTATAGTAAAAAAATAAAGTGGATGTGAGTGCTATAAGCCCACTGTATAGTAAAAAAAGTAAGGAGAAAGTAAATATTACAAAGGTAATAAACCGACACCCTGGGGTGCCTAGATACCTCTTCTAAGTTTTGCAACAGTTACGGTTCAATGGTTCTAAGGAGAAAGTAAATATTACAAAGGTAATAAACCGACACCCTGGGGTGCCTAGATACCTCTTCTAAGTTTTGCAACAGTTCCGGTTCAATGGTTCTAAGGAGAAAGTAATTATTACAAAGGTAATAAACCGACACACCGGGGTGCCTAGATACCTCTTCTAAGTTTTGCAAAAGTTCCGATCATGTGACTTCTTTGTTCAATACAGTATATATATATATATATATATCCGTGTCAGCATAAATTACTTGTACCTGATGATGACAAAACCTTGTCTAAACATTGTACATTTGCTGTTATGTTAAACTTATATTAAAGTTTTTCTTCATTACCCATTCAAGCTGTCTCCAACCATTATTAATTATTACAAAAGTATTTTATAGCAAAATTCAATTTCATGTACGTCATTTTTTTAAAATAGTAAAATATTTGTGATTTCCTCAGATAATTTTTGTTATCATTAGTGTTATTATTTTACATGAAACAACTAGATTTTTATGCTTAGTTACAATAAGAAACATTTATGCTTTTGATATTAAAGATTCTGATGTATTTTAATAACTTAAACATTATAAAAAACTGCCAAAGAAATGTATGGTAAGGAGAAACATAATAAGCACGTTTTTTCTTCTATAATATGTCTTACTAATTGTTCATGGCTATTCCCATCATTGGATTTTGATATATTAAACTGTCAATGTCACTCATTTTAACTGAAAACAATAAAAATACACAATGCAGGAAGAGTAAGAAACCATATCTTTGAAGTGTGGTTATATTTCTTTATTGTTTAATGTAATATGGCGTTTAATGAGAACAAGGGACTTGTTTGTCTATTTAGGCTGTCCAATTCACCAAACTAACTTATATATATATATATATAAATGGGGCCCAGCATGGCCAGGTGGTCAGGGCACTAGACTCACAATCTAAGGGTCATGGTTTCAATTCCCCATCCCACCAAACATGCTCACTCTTCCAACCGTGGGAGCATTATAATGTGACGGACAATCCCACTATTTGTTGGTAAAAGAGTAGCCCAAGATTTGGTGGTGGGTAGTGATGACTAGCTTCCTTCCCTCTAGTCTTACACTGCTAAATTAGGGATGGCTAGTGCAGATAGCCCTTGTGTAGTTTTGCGCGAAATTCAAAAACAAATAAACAAATATATATATAAACTCAAAGCCAACCCTTATCATTCAAATATTTAACAAACATTCCCTTAAACTCCCTTAAATTTATTCATCAAACACATCTGAAGCCAATCCATTCTATAGGCCAATTAATAACCCTCAAGTGAAAACAATATCAAAGACCTTAATCTGTTATTTTATGGCACCCTTTCCTAGTAGCCATCATCTGAACCTTTCAATATCCTTCCTAAAGATGTAGCCTAACCAGTGACCTATACAATATAATTATAACCTCTTTAGATCTGGAAGATCTTTTTTATTTTACCAGAAGTATGATAGTATAAACTGACAAGGCCTGACTTCCTTATCATAAATGTAATTTTAAGTGTCAACTTTCCCTAGGACTTATGTGGGCCTGAAAGTACTTACAAAAACTATAATATTTAACTTTTGAACTACATATAGGTCTATATGAACAATATGTTTGACTGACAGTTCTTGTGTACAGATTTAATAAAATCAGTTGATGACTTTGATGTTTTTAAAATGCACCATAATTTATTTTATAACGTTAAAAGCAAATATACAATTAATAAACTACATGTTTTGGTTGAACATCCTCCACCATCTTCGGGTGATCAGAAAAACACAGGAAATTTCATTTATAAATTAAAGTAAATTTACATGTACAATTTACATATATTGTACATTTAGAAAATTGATTTACAGAAATTCACTTCCGGGGCACTGGAACCTAAGTCTATTTCAGCTATTTCTAATGATTCTCTCATGTTTAATTCATTTTTTGACTTAACTTCTTTAAGTATTTGTACATTATTCTAATCAATACAATGAGAAGAGTTTGCCACAGGTTCTGCCAAGGCTGAATCACTAGTTTTTAACTTATCAAGAGGGTTGTTTGAATTTTTTTGGATGTTTCTGTAAAAGAAAAGAGAGAGAAAGAAGGGAAGGCATTCTCAGTTGCCATGCTGCCACATGCAAGTTCATGTTACCAGTTATCACAAAAAATTTTCTTTTTTTATTCATAGGGCTGTTAATGTCTTCATTTAATAAAGATTTATTGTTAGAATTGAATTATTTTGAATATATAGCAACTGATAGAGGTTATGAACCTTAGATCATAGATAGGATATACAAGAAACGTTGTAATAAATTACAGATTTCTGAATGTATCACACTACAGACAATAAGTAAGAGAAACAAGGAAAGAATATGTTTGCCATCATTGTCAACAAAAATAGATAATGTGTTCATGAAAAACATAAATAACCTTTACTCCTCAGTTAAAATTAATTAATATCTTTAATGGTGTCAAAGATAAAACTGAAGTAAAGGGCAGATGTGGAATATATATCATCTCTTTTAGTTGTGATTTAAGTTATCAAACAGACAAGTAGAAAGTTGAAGTTTCGAATTAAAGAAAACAAAAATGCCAGTGATAAATTAGGAACTTGTGATTCAGCCTTGGTGTAACATGTGACGAACTCTTCACGTAGTATCAATTGGGTCATTGGAATAATGTAGAAATACTTAAATATTCTATTGCATTAAAATTAGGGATGACTAGTGCATGTAGCCCTTGAGTAGCTTTGTGCAAAATTCAATAACAAACAATATTCTTGGTTTCTAGGCATATTGTTATTTTACGTTTCAGCTTAACTTTTAAGTATACGACACTGCTTCTTCATTTAGTAAAATCCAGGAACATAATTTTTGTCATATTATCGGTCTGTCTTTGTTTCTTAAGTCATATATCCTAATGTAAACTTATGATTACCAATAACATTCTGGAAAAAAAATAAATACACGTGATTGCAAATGTACATTGTATAGCTGTTGTTCTTTTCCTATGTTGATGTGTTTGAAATACTAAGAAACTATATATTATTCACTAAAAAAGTTAAACTCATTTGTCAAAACTAATATTTTTGCTTTCAGTCCTGGTTCATATAGCTTATGCTTGAGGGTCAATCAAATGCAGTTGGTGTTTTCATTTGATTATATTTAAGTGATAATGTTTTTTGTTTTGTTTCAGGCAAATTCCACGTAGCAGAAAATCTCATCCTGATGAGAATGATAGAAGAAAAAGTCGACGACATTCTGTGGGTAACTTCCCATCATCAGGTCAGAACAAGCCCTATAGTCCTTCCATCCACAAAACTCCTGAGGAACCATTCAACCAGTGGAGGAAAACGTATGTCAGTTATATGGTTATATAAGATATTTATCTCTATTTATCAAAGTTAATAATTTTTTCTTTACCAAAAATATTTAAATGTTTTTTTAATTAAAATATTTTGGTTATTTGAAATTTATTTTTTTCTTAACAATAGAGAAGGAAACGAAAATAAGGAGTCACTCAAAGGGTCAGACTCAAATCGAGGGTCACTGCAATTAAATGGTACTAGCCAGCCTAAGCAACCAGGTGAGAGAACTCAAATATGGTAAATTCTAAGGTTCTGGAATATTTCATAAATAGAAACATGAAATATCCATTAAGTAGCACTTATTTACATAAATATATCCAAGTTTCATGTATATGTAAAGTTCTCTTCATACCTAGACAAACTTTAGTAAAGATGTTCATGATTTAATTGATTGCTATCACAGAAAACAAACATGTTACATGTAACTTATTACATTCTTCATTGCTTCACACTCTAAGTGAGGTAACACAGCTTACTTACTCCACTACAGTCCATAAAACACTGCCAATGCAAAGCTGCAACTACAATGGACACCTCAGAACAGGTGATATGTCATTGTAATTTGGACAGAGGTGTGCCTGTCAATATTTCCATATTCCTAATGACAGAATGTAACAGAATTTTCTATCCATGTTTATCCTGAAAATATGCCATAAAAGAATAGTATAATCTATTAAACTTGTCAGTATACAAGTGTATGGATTTCTACATATGTGCTGCTCATACCAACCTTCTTGGAAGACCTCATATGTCAAAATATGTGCAAAATATATCCAGGATGAAATATAATAACAATGTCAATTTAAAACACTTATTATTTAAATATACCATCCAAATAATGTGTTTGATATGAATGAATTCTAAAAAATGAGATTTAAGAATGTTAGAAATGAAAGTAGTTAAGTTTCTGAACACTAGAGCATGCAGCTTTTAGATGTTGTAGTGCTGTAACTGTTATACTGATGTCGAACATCAAAAAGCATTCTACATACTTATTAATCTTATTAAAAAAATTTCCATTCCATTTTTTCTTTTTGTAGAAAGTAGATAAAACTTGCTTTAGTCTGTAACTCTAACATGACGATTCTACTTTCAAATATGAAGTATGGTCCCCAGATGGAACTTTCTGATAAAGTAAGACATACCATAATATCTACAATTGGAGCTTAAAAGATACATCAAAACTGATAGCACTGATAACAAGAGCAGGTCTGGAAGCTTTCCAAATCATTAAGAACCCCAATTAGTCATATGTCATTCAGAAACAGATGTAAACCTAACAATTGAAAAGAGTGCATTACAGAAATAGAACCTTTGTCCTGAAAAGGCAACAAATGAAAGAGACTTACATTTGGGGAAAAAAAAAGGACAATATGTGGAGAACAGTGCTTTGATCTGACAAGTCAAAGTTTGAGATTTTTTTTGAATCAGTAGACACCGGTACATTCATCTCGGGAGTGGTGAGAGTTTACAGAAAATTTTTTACATCCTTCAATATGGGACTGTTTCATCACAACTGGAGTTGAGGATCTCTGTTGTCTTTATGGAATCCTAGATTCTGCCTAATATAACAAATACTTGTTCAACATACTGTTTCTTCTGGACATTTAGTGGAAGAAGTTTCATTTCCAGCATGATAACAAACCCAAACACACAGCAAAACAGTATCTTAATAGAAAGGAAGGAGATGGAACCCGTGTATATTTAGAATAGCCTCTATAGAACCAAGATCTGTGTACCATTGAAGGTGTTAGATGTTAACAAACCCAAACACAAAGCAAAACAGTATCTTAATAGAAAGGAAGGAGATGGAACCCGTGTATATTTAGAATAGCCCCTATAGAACCGAGATCTGTGTACCATTGAAGGTGTTAGATGTTAACAAACCCAAACACACACAGCAAAACAGTATCTTAAAAGAAAGGAAGGAGATGGAACCCGTGTATATTTAGAATAGCCTCTATAGAACCGAGATCTGTGTACCATTGAAGGTGTTAGATGTTAACAAACCCAAACACACAGCAAAACAGTATCTTAATAGAAAGGAAGGAGATGGAACCCGTGTATATTTAGAATAGCCTCTATAGAACCGAGATCTGTGTACCATTGAAGGTGTTAGACTATCTTGATGGAGAAAATCAAAGTAGGTACTGTGGGCAGTACTTAAAGATACCTGGAGCTCAGTTCTCTCTGAGTATCTCCAAATGTTTGAAGAAAGCATTCCTCATCACCTTCATTATCTTAGCTAAGGATAATGAGACATAATGTTAAATGCTTGAACTTAAAATTTTCTTTATATGAGTTTGTTTTGCCTTTGGACATTATGAAGTTCTGAAATATCTGCAATAAAAATAACTCAACATGTTTTTAATTTAGAATATGTCGTGATGATTCAGTGATTTGTTTTTATGTATAATACTGTATATGCTAACTAAGGCCTTATCTCTATCAGGGGTGGATGGGTTCTGGAAATTTTCTGCCTTTTTTGATGAATATATGGTCATTCTGTAACTTCTTCAAAGACACCCCTTTGCCAAAGCCATACCATCTTGAAGTAGTGTTGCATCCTAGTAGAGCAGAGGCAAAATAATGTGTTTGCAAAAATTATTGCCAAGAATTCCATTAGCTTTCTTAATATTTCGTTCTATGGTTTGTTTTTTTGTAGTTGGCTTTTGATTCTATCCTGAAAATTTCTTTCAGTGATGGGTAAAGAAATAAGATACGGAGTTTGGTTTCCTCTCCAATCAAAACAGACATATGTTTAGTGGCTGATTTGATTGTTTTCTGAACAGTCAAGAGATCAGTATTTCCAAGGATGTGGTAAATGGAACGACTAGTTTCTTCAAGTGCACCACCAAGCTTATTAGCAGAGGAAATATGAACTGTAACACCAACAACACTGCTCTTTGTATGTGCATCACATCCTTTGTTGATGCTTATTGTAACCGTAAAAAACAATGGCAAATTCCATATCACTTTACATAGTCAAAGTACAGCTCAGTTATGTAACTACACATTGCCACACATCCCGATTTAGAAGTCAGCCACGATCTAGTACATACTGGATGTGTGTGCTCCGTGTGCATCCTCTGCTGTCAGGGCTATGGACCATTTTCCAAATACAGTTAGAAAAAGCTGTTTGGTTTGGCTCTCTAGACAGACCCGACAGGTCAAACAGAAGAGGGGGATATTGAAAGTGCTAGCACATTAAGCCACAGATTTTCCACTGTTGTCACCAATCATTGGAAGAAAATTTGAGGGTCAACCTTCACATGTTCATTATCAATTTTGATGGCAAGCTTAGTTGAAAGTGTTACAACATGACTTTCTTCTGAAAAGTCAAGAACATTTTTATTAATTGTGGTGCTCAAACAAACCAAAAGGGGACCCTAATCAGTCAGAATCGTAATTACAATTATAGGGAGATAAATGTAGGGGGCCTAATTACTTTTTATGTAGGAGGGCCCATCTTTTCTAGTTACACAACTCAACAGAAATCCAGATTAAAGTATATCATCGTTTTAGTTTTCCATAATATTCACAACGTTGAACATAATTTTCATACTATTCCTTACAGAAGGTGTTATGAGATTTTTGATATGTTCTATGAAATTATTTTGTCTATAAGCAACAGTTGAATTAGTTTTTTTTTGCATTTACTTAGAGGTCAGCCTTGAAAATATTCTAGATTGCCTTGATTACACGATCAAAATCATTGACACAATTCTGTGACAGTGGTTTCCCTGCTACGGAGTTCTTGAGGTTCCAAGCAGTATACTGCATGTAGCACTGGGCCACCCAAACTAAATAGAAGATGTTGCATATTTGTTCCTGGGTCCCAGAATTCCATGCAACTACCTGGCAAAACCACTTAATGAAGTGATCTAAAACTTCCTTTGCTGATCCCATAAATGACAGAGGCATAATGTATTTCGCCTCACGACTGCTAATTTTAGCAAGGATAACCTATTATTATGTATGTCACTCTGTGAATGACTGTAAAGCTAGTTTTAACATTAGCATCAACTCCTCTGTAGAAGCTGTAGCTCTTACATTCTGCCAAATATTAAACTCTCACTCAAGTAACATATTGTCATGGTGGCGATGTCACTTCTAATACTGTTTGAACACAAGATTCTGTTTCGAACAAAGTGTCAATATTTTTCCTCTCACATTAAGAGGATCCTGACTTGTGAAGGGTACATCATGTATAGGCTATGATAGAAACCATGCTGCCAGGAAACTGTAAGGTGGATAAGCAAGCATATCTCTAGCTGTATCCAGTGAGGGAGAGCTTGGGTGCAAATCCCTGCAGTTCACTTAACTGACTGCTCCAGGAGGTCTCAGCATAACCATGATGGTTGGTAAGGCATGTAATATTTGCATACTACACTCCTGAAAGCAACAACTGAGATTATTTCTCTGAAAACTCTTTCAGGAATAGCTTTGCATATCATTAACCCATAAATGAATAATTTAGGTAACTAGTAAATTAAAACTAAACAATAAATGATTTATGATATAGGGTTGCCAATGTATGTGTGAGAAAAAAAAAAGTAGAAATTTTGTGTCCAAAATGGGTTAAAGGTCACAAATATTATTAGTTACCAATATATTGAAGAAACATATGATTTCTCAAAGACTACATTATAACCTAAATCAAATTCACAGGACTTACACAAAAATATTCAAAACAACAATTATTCATTTCGATTTCTTTATACAGATGGTAAAGAATAATATATCATTCATAGTAACATTAAACTGAATACAGTACACAGCTAATAGAACAGGGTTTTATAATATATCGAGGCATCTCAAAAGTATGATGGAATGTACTTCTAAACAAAATATGTTTTTTTAGGTGTTCTACTTGAGCAACTAAAATGAAATGACATTTTATGAATCATGAATGCACATATTATCCATTTAACTCAGTTCTATCTTATCTTGTAACATCAGCAATGATTTAACTCAAATAGTTAAATATAGCTGGTGATTATATTTTTATTCTAGGCATGAACAGTTTTAATTTGTGGAATATTAATGAGTTCTATATAATAAGATAAACATTTCATCTTGTAACTTTCCACCATAGATTACATATGACTTTTTGATGATAGAAAAGAAAAATACATCAATAATGAAAGAAAGTTTGTTATTTTATTAATGTTTCCTGTCATACTACCAACAACTTAACAGAGTGGACTTCTTTTCTTAGTTTTATTCCATTTTGATGTGACTGGAATCCTGTTTGTTGAGTCACAGATACTGAATAAACAGAGCCACAACTTCTTATGTGAGAGACTTGTATAGAATTAATATATATATATATGTCTTTTTTTACGTTTCGGATGCTATAACCTGAGAATTTAGACTATTTTATGTGTAACCTTTATTACAGATGTAAATGGAATAACTCCTGCATTAAGAAGAAGAAGAGAACGTGATGCTCGTAACCGTTCCCTTATTAAAGAGCAAGAAGAAAACAGTAAGGGGGTCATATATCAACGCACAGATAGTGTATCTTCAACAGGCAGCATAGATTCAGTTGGAAGCATAGAAAAACCCACTGAAAAAATTGAGAAGCGTAAGTATACCTTGTTGAGTCTGAGAATCATCTAAGATTTGTAATACAAATTTGTATTCAAATGAATGTATTCCAATTGAAGTTAGCACGTATATTAATGTATAATCCAGTTTTTATTTAATGGAAGATAATCATGTGCTTTAAGTAACTTAAGAACTGTGGAATGACCTTGAACTGTGGGATCTTTAAATACTTTAAATAAATATATCTCTAAAGAGTTTACAGTCTGTAGATGTTTATGGCTAATTCTATGTTGATTAAACAGAAAAAATATATATTGTCAGTATTTCCATCAGTTTTATTTCTAATGGTTTATTATTATTTATAATACAAAGAGATTTATAAACACTTTGTTAGTAAGTTGATTATACATTTCTATCATTTTCTTCTTCTTCCAGCTTCTTTAGTCGAGCGTCAAAGATCTCGCTTTGAAAATCGAATAGAAGATGAAAATAGAAAAAATCACCAGCTTACACGAATGCACTCAAGAGAAGAATCTAAACAGCAACAAGACCAAAAAACTCCTGCTCAGTTAGTAAAACAGAATAGTATTTCTGATGTTCCCCAACAAAAACATGGGCCTACCCCTTACACAAGAAGTGATACTAATAAGAAATCTTGGATGTTATCAATGATGTATGGGAAAAGCCAAGAGGAAGATACCAAGTCAGTGACTCCTGTAACTTCTCCCATTTCTCCTGTTAGTCAGGCTGCTCGTCCTCCACCTTTTGTGAAAAAAGAGGAAGGACCAGCAAAGCCACAGCTAGTTAAAGAGAGAAGTGTGCATGATATGCAAGAAAAATTTAAAGAAAAACAAGATACTAACCTTCGACCTCTATCCGATAATCGCTCTAGACTTGGTGATTCAAGTGGCATCATAAGTCGGGCAAAGGAAGGTCTTGCTGCCAGTACTCGCCCAGAAAATCGGTTGACTACTTTAGTACCTCAAAAAAGCAATTCTTCTATTCCTGATCTCCGAAAGTCTGAGAGTGGTATTCAGTGGGATCAGTTAGTCAAGACTATCAACAAACCACTTTTAATTAATGATTTAGACTTCACAGACTTGAAGGATGAAGATGATGTTAATATCTTACAGCCCCCAGCAATGGTCCCAATGGGTGGGGCACCTCCTCCACCTCCTATGGGTATGGTTCCTCCCCCACCACCCTTACTACCAGGATATGGTCCCCCACCACCACCTCCTCCACTTGGCATGCCACCACCTCCTCCACCCCCTGGTCAGAGTGGTCCTCCACAACCTCCACCTCCTCCCTTTATGGGAGGCTCCAGATTTGGTTTCCAAGCCCCACAAGCACCACCTTGGTCTAAACAAGCACAGCAACAGAGACAACAGCAGCAACAACAAGAACAGCAAAAAACAATTCCAAAGAATAAGAAAACTGTAAAGCTCTTTTGGAAAGAAGTGAAGACTGATCCAATGCTAATAAATAGGTTATCAAAGAAAAAAACAATATGGGATGAATTAAATCCTGCAGCAGTAGATATACAAAAATTAGAGCATCTCTTTGAAAGCAGAGCAAAGGAGATAATAAGTTGGGTAAGAAATTATTTCCCATGCCTTAATTTGTTACCCCACATTTTTGTTAGCATTCTGATTGAATTCTGTTCCTGTGTCTAACAAAAAAGGTAAGATTGTACATAGAATTATTTTTTCTGACGGAATAAATAGCGTATAGATTGAAAAAAATCATTTGCCACCACTATATCAGTGCTGAGCAGTGGTCATCTTCCTCCTGTACAGATAATCTGTAAACTGGCCAGGTGTTTAAGTGCTCTTCTTATGTGTTTTCACTTTCTTCCTTACAATTCTGTACTTACTTATTTAATTTCTATTTCATAAAATTTATTGAGTTTCGAATGAAAATTCTAAATTTAAGTTTTAAAAAGAAAACTAACAATAAATTTGATTTCACAGTCTAGTTACTTTAAACGAAGCTATTAAAACAGCTTTGTTTGCAACTAAAGAAATAGATCAAATCACTCTAGACACAAACATCTCACAACTGACCACTGCTTGCTAAGCCTAATCTAAGTAGTTTTCTTCATTTTCATCTTATTTTGGTGTCCCCAACAACAATTAAGTTATTTTTTGTGACTTTTTTTTGCCATTGTTATAATATTTTATAGCCAGCTTGTATATTGACTCTTAATGTGAAGTTGCACTGATGCTAAAAGCTATAGTAATTTATGGTGTCTCTCATATTATAAAGGTTGCCTTAAAAATATAATTATTAATGCAAAAAATTAATGATAATTTTCACTGTGATTAACTTCTTAATTCATTATACAAGTGTATATATATATGTTTTCCCTGTATAAGCTTTAGATCATTATTGTGCAATCTGGTACAAAATATGATGAATATTTAATGTACAAATTCTCTCATTAGCAATAATTGCTTAGAAACTTATTTTTGTATCTAATAAGCTTTTAAACTAAGTAATTTGTTTATATCTTTTCAAACTCCTCTGCAGTATTTGTATTACGATTATTTAAACCATTGATAAAAAAGAACATTCATTTATTTTAACAATAATATCATGATCCTTATTTTTATAGGTGCTGTAGATTAAAGTTGATTCAAACAATTATTTTTAAATTTTTATCAGATTGGTGAAATTTATAAATTAACGTTTTGTACGTGTCAAAACACTAATTGCAAGTATGATATAATTAATATTTAAGCATAATTGAAATTAACAAATGCATGGCTATCAATTTTGTCAATGTAAATTAAATAATAATTGTTTAACTTACAACTTAGTATTCAATTTTGTTTTCAGTGCATGTATTAGAGCTAATTTCATTTATTTTATTTTTCGTTAAGTTAAAAATCAAAATTGTACAAGTGCTGCATGATAGATGTGCTTCTAATTAAACATTTTCTTCTCGTGCTCATGCTGTTGCTGCTGTTTGTGTGCTGATTTACGGTTTGACCTGCATCCTATCTATTCAGGAGGTAAGCTTAAGTCAAACACACAGTTAAGTTTTAAGCCATGTATATAATATATATATATATAATTTTTAATATACAAAAGATTTACTGTTTATATATGTTATAAACTACAAGAGTACAGTTGTTTAAGTTCTTAATATTTTTATCTGTTAATAATTTAAGCTGTTAATTATATAAGAGAAGGTAAAGAAATTGTATAAGCTCATAAACAGAAATTATGAAAACATAGAAATATTACAATTTAAAAGTTTAATGTATATGAGCATGAAAGGATTCAGTGATTTTGTTTAACTAAATGAAAGATTTTGAACTTTTTTTTAAAAGTGGGTTTCTTTTGATATCTAGAAGCATAAAATATTTCATTGAATTGTGATTTAACCACAGTTAAATTTATAACTATATTGTATCATATCATATATGCTTTTTCAAACTATTGAATATCTTAATAATGATTAATTGGGTTTGTTTCCGTTTCATGTTTTACAAGGAAGATATTCAGTTTTATACAGCAATTTTATTAAATATCTCTTATTTAGCTAAAACAGCAAATAAATACACATTGTTATCTTAGAAATTAATAAGAGGAGGATAGAAACATGTAAAATAATATCTTTGAAAAACTTCCCTAAAGTTTAGCATTTTTTTCTTAAAATCAATTGCTGTATTACTGATTTTCACTTACTGTAGTTGCATAATTTATTCCAACAACTTTAGCCATTGTTTGTGAGTGTTGTAAGTATTTTATTGAATGCTTTTACCGTAGTACCCCGATGGGACAGCTGTAAGTCTACGGACTGACAATGCTAAAATCCGGGGTTGAATTTCCCGTGGAGGACGCAGCAAATAGTCCAATATGCTTTGTTCTAAAACAAACAACACAACCTGTACTATAAATACTTAGGTCACTTATTTTTCCATGAATTTTATTTAGTCTGATAACAACAAATAAAACTGGTAGATTGAATTTTCAGAAATAGAAAATCAAAAACCATATTATATATGATTGATACATTTAGCATGATGACATAATCTTGTTGAAACATCATACATTTATAATCAAGTTTTCTTCATTACCCATCTCCAAACTTTTAAATTTAAATTTAGTTTTTGATATGGATACTTGCAAATAAACAATGATAGAAAAAGTTTTGCTTGAAACTAAATGAGGTATCTACTTTAAAAGTCAGTTAAAGAATATCTTGTTGTAACATTTTAAAAATCAAATATGCCTTTAAAAAATAACCTATAAATAGGTTTATAAAGCAAACAGTAAAATAAATTATAGTACTTCGAGGTGTTGAGATATTCTGGTATTTGTAATGATTTTAAGTTAATGACATAATGGGTTTTAACTGTAGGTCAAGTTCTATTTCTTGTATTTTAAAATATATCTATGGGGTATATTCAGAAAAGAAAAACAATATGCCAGTTACATCAAATTACAAGCAACATACATAAAACAATATTTTTAGTATATTGGAAACCAAGCATTACCTGTTAATCAAAATTCACTTGCTCCACCATTCTGGTGTGGTGTTACAAATGTACACTGTTTTAATGACATCAGTTAATTGTCTGGTAGTGTTCTCCAATAGGATCGTGAAGAACTGTGTATCAGATCATACTTATCAATGAGTTATGACATCATTAGATTGCAGGAGAACATCTTTTGGACAGGTATTTACCTATTAACCTGACCTTCTTGTCACCTGTAATTTGCTCATATTTGATGTTTAGGAAATTCCTGTTCCTTTCTGAATATCCCTCATGGGAAAATATTATGCCACACCAAAAGTATATATAGATGTCTAAAGCTGCAAGTTTAAGCTTTAATCAGATATTAGACTAAATGCTCCACATATTTACTGCAGGAATCACTTAACTGGTCTTGGGCCTAACTTTAAGCACAAGCTGAAATGTGTGTGTGTCCTGTTTAATTTGTTGCTTATGCTTCACTGAAACATTTCAGTGACAAGATAAGTCTATGTTTTCTGTGTTGCTTTGGATTTGTTTATCCAATAGGTCTTTCAGCTCTTGGACTAAACAACAAGTGGTTAATCATTAACCTTACATAGCTTTTTACTTGTAGTGGTCATGTTAGTTACTGTAATCTTGGTGCTTTAGAATGTTGTTTAATCAACAATTGGCACAACAAGCAGTCACTTATCATCAATATACTCTAGCAGCGCTTGAGCTAGAGCTTTATTTTATCCTCAAGTGTTTCACTTCTTCAAAAAACTGCACATCTGGAAGTTCTGGCAATATGTTTCTGTTGGACAAGTTTATATACATATTTAAATTAGTGCAAAATTAACATATTGACCTAATTATATATATATATATTATGTAGTTTGAAAACATAAAATATTAACATTGCCATAGGAAGCAATTTTCAATATTCAGGCCATTGTTACATTGTCATTTCTAGGGGTATGGGGGTATACTCCCCCAGAAAAGTTTTGAAAATTCAATGCTATGAGATTGAATCTTGGGCCATTGTAACTACATACAGACAACGTCATGTATTGAATTAAAAGAAGCAAGTTTTAATACATAAGTTGTAGATATAGATGTCATGAAAAAGTGGTCAGGTCATGGTCTTACCAATTCCCATGACCCTGATTAACTCACTTAAATGTAAGCATGAACATTTACTTTTTTTTTCATTTTAAAAATATGATCCCTTGTCTTTATAAGAAACTGTGAACATATAACTTAATATCTTAGCCAAGATATTCAGGTACATTTATGTCCAACATTTAAGTATTAGGTATCTACAATAATAATCAGATTCTAAGATAACTTAAGCTGAGAGTAAATCAAATCCTGGCAGCAAAGAAAAAGAAGTAAAAACAAGAGTATAAATAAATCAAAATCTTTATATGAACAAAAAAATCAAGGTTTTCTGGGACTTTATCAAAATGGCTGACTTCTATGGTAACAAACTTTGGCTGTTTGAGAAGGAGAAAGTTTGTCATGTACAAGATGAAGGCAAGAGAAAGCTGGAATAATGACATTTCACAATGTTAAGGCAGACCCAAAGTTCTTTGCATCATATCCTACAATTCTAGATTTTTAATTATCATGCTTTCTTACAATACATTCCAAGAGAGATGAAACCTCATATAAAACCCAAAGAAACCTCATAAAAATTAACTTGTTTAAACCTCTGTACCATCAACCCCTCAATTTGAGCACAGATGCACTTAGAGGAGCAGTGACACAGAAACAGGGTCAAATAAGTATAAGCCTTACTTAACAATTTCTGTGGTATATAAGTCTTGTCTAAGATAGAGGACACATGTACTAAAAATTTAAAAACCTTTACATCCCATTGGCAATGATGCCAAATAATTATATGCAAAACATTTACTTGAATATACTTGATTAAACAAGAATACATTATTTTCTAGTCATGAAAAGACCGTTCTTTCCCTTTAATTGTGATAAAACTAAACTAACTGTTATTGCTTGATGTGTTGTTTAAACTTGGTTGATAAGTTATAATATTAATGCTTAAAGCAGTGAATAACCATTTTACAGTAACTTTCTTTTGATGTTCTTCTAATTCATAAAACAAT